TACAGTATTGTTTGTAATAGTGAAAAATGAGAAACATGCTAAATATTCCCTTAGAGAATAAATAAATATAACATTATTTTCATATGGCAGAAAGCTTTCTTCAGTGAAAATGTATGAACCAAAGCAATTTGGATACATCTCAAAAATATTGCTTTGAGTTAAAGGTGGCAAGTGATTCATGTAGGGCTACTTATATAAAGATTGAAAACATGTAAAATAATGCTATGTAGTTTATGAATACATGTATTTGTAAGAAATAAAATGTATCAAAACATTCACTGGAATGATAACCACCAAGTTCTCCAAAGAGAGAAAAGGTAATAGAATTGGGGAAGGACACAAAGGGAGTATTAACCATATATGTTATGTTTTATTTCTTAAAAATGAAAAATCTAAAACAAAATATCAAAGTATTTCACTCAAAATTTCCATATCATTGTTAAGATTAAATGACTTTTCCTAAAAAAAGGAGTTCATCTTAGCAAATTGGACAGACAAAAAAATGAGCTTAAGTGGCATTTTGAGTTGATTTGTTCCCAGATTCATTTCAAGAGCTGTTCTCCAGGTCAGAGAGCTTTTTCGTTCTCTTTTACCCTTTCAGATATTATACTCCTTTTCATGCATTTGGGGAAAATCCAAATGTCATAATCACTTACATTACAGACAAAAGAAGCTCATGGTGTTAATAATTACAGGAAGATTAAGATGAGGATTATTAGTACCTAACAACAACGGCAATAACAAAAAACCAGAAACTGATGTTTCAGAGACATTAGGAAATATTTTCACATTTCAGTGGCATAATAGACCTCATCATATCAGAGTTAATGTCCTTTTAGTGATGAAATCAGGACTTTTTTGTAACTTTAGCTCTCATTTCTGCTCACTTACCACCGGAATTTTCTTAAGAATATACACTCTTTTGATCTATTATCTCTTTTGATCTTATACTATTTCCTTCCCAGTCAGAAATTATAAAAGCAAATTCCAAAACAGTCTTCACCTCAGGATCATGTTCTGTGTGGCCCTAAGATATGATACTAAATTGTTAACTTCCAAATCATCCCCAAAGTATTTGTGTTATAATAAACCTGAAAACTTAAGAAGTCCAAATTTCAAGCAATAATGAGGAAATGTTTAGACATTTTGTTTCTTTGCTTTTGTATTGAGGAGGCTTTACGGGAAACAAAGTAGCCTATAACATGTGTCCCCAGGGTCATACAGTCTTCAGGGGGTTATCAAAATAGCTTGCTCCCTCAAACTAGTGTTGTCCTCTTTTCCACTGATATTACGAATACTCTCCTGATTTTAGCTCAAAGGTTGTCTGTCCCCTCTGTTCAGTCTCAGAATTGAGTTTGCATACACTGGGCATTTAATAAATGCTTGTTCATGAGACCAAGGTGGTTGACCTTGGTCCAAATGGATTATATTGTTTCTAGTCCCAGCATTCGTTGGTAATATCTGATGTGTCTCTGTCCTTTGGAATAGAAGAAGCTGGCCTGATCATATAGCTGACCCCTCCTCAGGGTACCAGCTAAATTCCTATTGGGTATGTTCTTGTTGGTACTATATCACCTTTATCCATAGGTAGAATATAGACATCTTTCTCAATGTAAAAAAAAATCAGAAAAGCCATTATTTATAACATTCCAACTATTTTTACTTTTACCTGTTCCTAACCTTGGTTCTCTCCTTAATCAGTAGCTGAACTATGTATACCATGTTCAGTTAGATCCTTCTATCTACATGCCCTCTGTCATGGGCCATTCTTGGTTCCACTTGACCATTTATGTTTTATTGCCTCCTCCACATTGGAAAGCTGTCCATAATAAAGTTAGCAAACATTACTGAGCATTTGCTTTGTGTACTGTTCTAAGTACAGATATTACCTTTATCATTTCATATGCATGATAATCTCAGGTACTATTATTATTCCTGTTTTACAGATAAGGAAATTAGAGTCACAGGAAGATACTTTAATTGATATGTAAAAATTTTCCATGATACTTCTGTGAGGAGCAAAGATGAAATCTATGTCAAAGAGCTTTGTAATAAGTAAAGTACAAACATTTCACTCCTGCCTGCTTTGTAACAAGGTTCAATGGATGTTTGTTGAATGAATGAGTGATTACTACTGAGGTGTACAATGTTTTGTGTAGGTAGAATCCTCAGAATAATGTGAAATGTAAATATACCAAGCACTATGTCTATAACTCAGTAGCCACCCCCTAACATATTCTAGTTTCCTCCTTCTCCTTCCCATTTCCTCTAAATTTCAAAATCACAATGATTGTCTGATTGAATATCTTTAAAAGTCATGATGAATTATTCTGTAATATTTGAAATGTTATGCTCAGAAAGGTCAAACCTTATTTTTTTGATATGAAGTACCACATACGTTTGTTTTTCCTGGGCATTTTTCTCTTTTTTTGAAAGAAAAGATGGCAAGAGATTTAGAGCAGGGTGCCCTCTTGAGGAAATTTTAGTACCTTCTCAAAAACTGGCATTGGGTGAAATCAGAAAATCCAGATAAATGATGTCCACTATGAATGAAGCTCAGATAAATAAAACATTAAAATGTAATAGTAACCAAATTTCAGGTATTTGAGAGTTAATATTCTTTTTTTTTAATATGTTAGGGGTAGGAGCTTATTAATTTATTTTATTTATTTTTGCTGTGTTGGGTCTTCGTTTCTGTGCGAGGGCCTTCTCCAGTTGCGGCAAGCGGGGGCCACCCTTCATCGCGGTGCGCGGGCCTCTCCCGTTGCGGAGCACGGGCTCCAGACGCGCAGGCTCAGCAGCTGTGGCTCACGGGCCTAGCCGCTCCACGGCACGCGGGATCCCCCCCAGACCAGGGCTCGAACCCGTGTCCCCTGCATCAGCAGGCAGACTCTCAACCACTGCGCCACCAGGGAAGCCCCGAGGGTTAATATTCTTAACTGTTATGATCTAATTTAACAACTGTAAATAAGAATTTTTAAATAAAAACAAAAACCACTAGAAGATATTTCATTTCCTCTTATTCACTCAGTCCTTCAAGTAATATTTATTAAGCACCTATTATGTGCCAGGAACCATGCTGAGCACAGTGGTCAACAAAACATAGTCTCTGCCTTCATGATGCTTACTGCTTATGAGGAAAATCTCAGTGAAGGGAAATAAAAACATATGTAACTACAAACTGGGGAAAGTACTATGAAGGAAATGAAAGGGTACTGCAATAAAGAAGAACAAAATAAGTTCTGCTTAGGGTGGTCAAGGAAAGCCTCTCTGAAAGGAAATAAATGAGCTGCATTCATTTGTTTTTCAGTCCATTCCAAGTTTGCCCATCTAGTATAGACAGCCTTATGACCCTTTTCCTAGCCTTGTTCTCCCTTATCTCTGCCCCAGCCCTGGAGCTGAGTTGAATCCTGTCTTTGCCCCTGTAGGCAAGCAGGCAAGTCTCATTTTTCCTTCTGCACCTCGCTGTTGCTCTAGCTAGTTCCCTTTGCCTTACTTAGAGCCTCACATTCATCACAGTGGGAAACCTGCTTAATCAATAAATGTCTTCCTTACTAATACCGATAGCTTCTGATAGTAGAACATTAATGCATTGTAATTATAATACTTAAAGGTCACATTTCCAACAATGTTAAGGATGTAGAGGGTCTCAGAAGATGAAAAAGACAGGTAGCCCTGCCTGCCACTATGCTTTGAATA